ATTTGTAAAAAAGACAGCGAGAGGCGACGGCGCACCTGTGAGAGAGCGACTGTAGACGAGATGCCAGAACAGGGCCAATTATATTGCATATCCGCCTCTGGAGCTTATCAAGAACCCCGAGGCAAACAGACGGGGTTCCAGACCATATATGGCAGCAATACTTCATGCAAGGGCGAATTGTAAGGGGAGTAGCTTTGATCTTTAACTCTCCTCCTTTATCTCTGACTATTGCTATCCTGCTGACTATTTTCTTTTTATATCCTTTCAGAATGTGAACAATCATGGCCCTCCATAACATCCTATTTTTTGTTATTTTTCGTAACTATTGATGTTTTTACTTATAGAAGTACTTTCAGAATGTGAACAATCATGGCCCTCCATAACTTCCTATCTTTTATTATTTTTAGTAACTATTGATTTTTTTTTACTAATAGAAGTACTTTCAGAATGTGAACAATCATGGCCTCCATAACTTCCTATTTTTTTGTTATTTTTAGTAACTTTGATTTTTTTTTAATAGAAGTACTTTCATTTTTTACCTCCATAACTTCCTATTTTTTTGTTATTTTTAGTAACTATTGATTTTTTTACTAATGGAAGTACTTTCAGAATGTGAACAATCATGGCCCTCCATAACTTCCTATCTTTTATTATTTTTAGTAACTATTGATTTTTTTTTACTAATAGAAGTACTTTCAGAATGTGAACAATCATGGCCCTCCATAACTTCCTATTTTTTGTTATTTTTAGTAACTATTGATTTTTTTTTCCTTTCAGAATGTGAACAATCATGGTCCTCCATAACTTCCTATTTTTTTGTTATTTTTAGTAACTATTTTTTTTTACTAATGCAAGTACTTTCAGAATGTGAACAATCACGGCCTCCATTTTATCTTTTTATTATTTTAGTAACTAATTTTTTTTACTAATAGAAGTACTTTCAGAATGTGAACAATCATGGCCCTCCATAACTTCCTATTTTTTGTTATTTTTAGTAACTATAGATTTTTTTTCTAATGGAAGTACTTTCAGAATGTGAACAATCATGGCCCTCCATAACTTCCTATTTGTTGTTATTTTTAGTATCTATTGATTTTTTTACTAATGGAAGTACTTTCAGAATGTGAACAATCATGGCCTCCATAACTTCCTATCTTTTATTATTTTTAGTAACTATTGATTTTTTTTCTAATGGAAGTACTTTCAGAATGTGAACAATCATGGCCCTCCATAACTTCCTATTTGTTGTTTTTTTAGTATCTATTGATTTTTTTTACTAATGGAAGTACTTTCAGAATGTGAACAATCATGGCCTCCATAACTTCCTATCTTTTATTATTTTTAGTAACTATAGAAATGGAAGTACTTTCAGAATGTGAACAATCATGGCCTCCATAACTTCCTATTTGTTGTTATTTTTTAGTATCTATTGATTTTTTTACTAATGGAAGTACTTTCAGAATGTGAACAATCATGGCCTCCATAACTTCCTATCTTTTATTATTTTTAGTAACTATTGATTTTTTTTACTAAAAGGAGAAAGATGTCTCTTTAAATACTGAATAACTACAATTGCTATCCATTTTTCTAGCTTTTGGATTTTTCCTAATACTTGTAAATTCCTGGTCTTTTGAGCAGAAGTAGAAGTTTATCCCTTGTTTCTTGTTCAGGATTGGGTTTCTAGTTCCTTCTAAAGTCTTCTCATTCCTTTTCACTCCTAGTTCTCTCTAGTCTCTTAGTGGCATTATCACCTTACTTGGGTTGAATAGATAAAAAAATAATGATGTAACAAAGTTAATTGCTTACCCACACAAGAATTTCAAAGATAATTTTAAATTTCCTTACCATCAGGCAAAGATAGCATTAAATATTTTATGCAACCTTGTACTGCTTAAATTTGTTAATACTTATGAAGTAAGTATATCTATGTACTTGAATTGAATTAAACTCAAGTACTGATTGTGTTGAAAGTCAAATTGCGTGAATTTACTTTGTTGATGTGCCGACATTCGACAGAATGAATTAAGAAGAATTGGGGATAAAAAAAACAAAACCAGTCTAGCAAGTTTTGAAAATAATTCTGTTCTTATCAGTCAATGATTTGTACTTTGATCTGAAATTATTTCATCTAAAAAGAAACTAAAATATTAGGCCTTGGGTGAGGACTCAACTATATATATATATATATATATATATATATATATATATATATATATATATATATATATATATAAGTAAGAGTTTGTTACTTAGCTGATGAGATAATGATATATATTTTTATATATCAAAAACAATATTGGGGGGAAAAATGTATGTCAAAGTGGGAAAAGTTTTCGTTTGATGTGTTTCGTCCTTTAGGACACCATCGGACTAAGTTTCTTATGTTGGTGCTACTACACATATGCACAAATGAGGGATGCTGGGAAATTTTAATGAGACTGATCACAATTTTGACATAAAAAATGCTACTCTGATCAAAGGAGAAAACAATTCACTATGCAGAAAATGTCTAGAGAGTGCCTTGTTTGCAAGGTCGTCTAAAGTAAATTTGCGCCCTGGCTCTTGCAATATTTCACCATTCCTGGCAGAACTTCTATTATCACAGTGTGGGATATCTACTAACAAAAGTGATGGAAAGAAAAAGAAAAGGAATCTAAATGAAAAAAATTAAATTTTAAATTTCCCAGCATCCCTCATTTATGCACATATGTAGTTGCACCAACATAACAAATTTATTCTGATAAAATCCTAAAAGACAAAACGCGTTACAAGAAATCTTTTCTACTTTGTCATACATTTTCATGCCAGTTGCTTTATCCTGTCCTCCTAAGACAAATATAAAATTTGTTACTGATTGATGTTACCTTCAGGATATTGATTCTAGAGTTTCAAAGATGGACACTTCAGCAGCCAGTCTGTCCACACATCAGGGGACATCAGCAATTGACTGTTTATTTTCTTTTTTTTTATATGGAAAATATTGAAAAATAACTTATGCACTTTTACTTGTTGCCATATATATATGTGTGTGTGTGTGTGTGTGTGTGTGTGTATCAAGAGTGCCTTGATTGCAAGGTCATCTAAACTAAATTTACGCCCTGGCTCTTACAATATTTCACCATTCATGTCAAATTTCTATTATATATATATATATATATATATATATATATATATATATAAAGTGAACATTAAGTCAACATAGAGGCGACAGTCTGTTTCATGCTGAACGCAATCATCAGGCCTCAAGTGCTGTTATTTTTCTTGGCTATTTATATAATATAATATATATATAATATTTATATATACATAGCTGAGAAAAATAACAGCACTCGTGGCCTGACGATTGCGTTTAGCATGAAAACAGACTGTCGCCTCTAAGTGTTGACTTCACTGTTCACTTTTTATATTTACACACGCCTATCTCTGATATTGAGCACTTTATCCCATAAATATAGCACACCTTAAGACTATATTTTTCATATATATATATATATATATATATATATATATATATATATTTTGTATGAGCATACACATATATATGTGCGTATGTGCATATACATGCATATGTGTATGAGCATATACACATGCATATGTGTATGAGCATATACACATGTATATGTGTATGAGCATACATATGTGTATTTGATCATACACATGTGTGTGAGCATACACCTGTATATGTGTGTGTGATCATATACTTGTATATGCATGTGTGATCACACACATGTGTATGTGTGCATACACATATGCATATGTGTAAACATAAACGTGTTGATGTTTGTGAGCATACACATGTACATGCGTGTGTGTGTGAGTATACATACGTGCGTGTGTGAGCATATGCATGTATGTGCTTGCATGTGTGAGCATACACATGTATATGTGTAGCTGTATTTTTGTTCATATAAACGTATACTGAAATCAAGTGTAATTGAAAGTCGGCTCTCCGATTAACAATTCCGAGCCATTATCTTTTACACCAGCTGCACATCGAAGTTTACAGCACATGGTATTCCAAAGTGGTCACCCATCTAGGTACTGGCCAGTCTCATCATTGCTTAACTTCATTGATATTGTAATAAGCCCCTTAATACAAAGCAAAATATTAGCAGCATAAAACCTAAAGCAAGCATTTAGAAAATAGACGGTAAAAATGCCTTGTGACGAAATATAGTTGATACATTTAGGGCAAAGATGGCACACCTTCATAGTTGTCAGCTTATGGCTCTATCATATTGAGACGTTGGTTCTCCTCTGATTAAATAATATTGAACCTGGTCAGTACCTAAATGAGTGAGCCTGGCCGTACCAGGTGCTGTATGCTTGGATGTGCAGGTGGTACAACAGATAACAGCTCGGAATGAGAGCCGAGTTTGAATTGTAGTCAGGTTCAAATTGCAATCACTTACACGCAAATACTCTTAGAAAAGGTATAAATACACCTCTTCTCACCCCCAGCTGTGGGTTAAATAGTAACACTTTAATCAGAAAATCATTATTATCCCCCGCCCAAATCCTTATAATCCCAAAATATGTCTCAGCTTTAAATAACCAATAATGTAGATAAGCCAAATAAATCAATCATTTATAGTTGCCGTATCATTTATGGTACTTCTAAATTTGTCATAAACATAAATTGGTCGCTCGTATACTTACCAATATTTCTTTTAATGCAAATCTTAGTTGATTAATTTGTGGTTCATACTTTGTTGTCTTCAGCTTAACACATGCAGCACTCATATCCATATCAAGGTGATTCCTGGTTGTTGATCTTAAATAGTTTATAGCAAGCTATATTTCAATATGTTATTTCACTGACTCCTTGAAGGTCACTAAAAAGTTGATGGTGGGTCATTTCATAGCCCCAGTTTTGCCATCACTGCCCTAGGATAATTTGATAGAAAAGAAACAACAACCACACAAGACATATATTTAGATTTATACTGTAAACTAAATGCAAAAGGAAATTAATTTGTAAAAAGGAATAAATATTTCAGCAAAATCTATCTATCTATCTGATTATGTTCATATCAATCTATCTGATTATGTTCATATCTGTCTATCTATCTGATTATGTTCATATCTATCTGACCATGTTCATATCTATGTTCATATCTATCTACCTGATTATCTATCTATCTATTTATCTGTGTTTATATCTCTCTAACCTGTTCATATCTATCTATATCTCTGACCTGTTCATATCTATCTATCTATCTATCTATCTATCTATCTATCTATCTATCTATCTATCTATCTATCTATCTGATCATGTTCATATCTATCTATCTATCTATCTATCTATCTATCTATCTATCTATCTATCTATCTATGTTTATATCTATCTGACCATGTTTGTATCTATCTATGTTCATATCTATCAACCTGATTATGTTCATATCTATCTATCTATCTATCTATCTATCTATCTATCTATCTATCTATCTATCTATCTATATTCATCTATCTATCTATCTATCTATATCTATCTATCTATCTATGTTTATATCTATCTGACCATGTTTGTATCTATCTATGTTCATATCTATCAACCTATTATGTTCATATCTATCTATCTATCTATCTATCTATCTATCTATCTATCTATCTATCTATCTGATCATTTCATATCTATCTATCTATCTATCTATCTTCTATCTATCTATCTATCTATGTTTATATCTATCAACCATGTTTGTATCTATCTATGTTCATATCTATCAACCTGATTATATTCATATCTATCTATCTATCTATCTATCTATCTATCTATCTATCTATCTATCTATCTATCTATCTGATCATGTTCATATCTATCTATCTATCTATCTATCTATCTATCTATCTATCTATCTACTTTTAAGTTTTTCATAAACATAAATGGGCTACATGTATTCTTACCAATATTTATTTTAATGAGAATCTTGTTGCTGCATTTTAGTTGGTTACTTAACACATGCATCACTTCTATCCATACCAAGGGGATTCCCAGTCATTGATCTTATATAGTTCATGCTGAGCCATATTTCATGACATCATTTCACTGACTCCTCGAGTGCCATTAAAAATCGATATTAGGTTAGTTCCTGGCCTGTGTGTCAGTTGTTCGTTATCTCCGATCTAGGACTTTAATTGAATGACTTTATGAATACAATAGACATTTTTTATGAAACAAAACACTTAATATATTATTTTTTCATCATAACAGGTATGAAAAATAGTTTTACATTAAGAATGTGATTTTGATTAAAATAGAAAGAAATTTTACATCCAGGATCACTCACTATATCTCCTTTCCTTGCCAAATTATGACTAGTATAATATGGTCCGGTGCTCCTGCTATATATTTAGAGATGTTTAATGAACATTGTTACAGCTCAGTTTTCTACCTCCTCATTCATTTGCCTCAAAGAATAATATGCAATGTTACTAGTCCGGACCTGGCATCTCGACTTCAGTAACATTTCCACTGCCATAATGTAGTTTCCCTGTCCGTTTTCTACAAATACTCTCATGTAATTATTCTGTTGAACTTTCCTCTATGGTACCTAGACTTTATGGATGTTAGTGCAGTATTAGATTGAAGGCAAGGGCTCATCATTTTACAGTTGAAAGTAACCATAAGTTCTATGCTAACAGTTTTATCTCTAGCACTTCTCGCTTGTAGAAATCTCTTCCGGCTTCATGCTTTCCAGTCAAGTTCAATCTTCAAATATTTAAATGCAATGCCAATCGTTATCTATCCTCTTTTAAATTCTTGTTCTTTTACTGCTCTCTCCCCTTAATAGTTTTTTTTCTATTTTTTTTCTCATATTGTCGCACACTCAGTAACCCTTTGCGTCTTAGTGAATATATTGCCTTGCGTGAAATGGTTTTAAAAACACAAGCAACGGTGATACCAAAGTAATTCAAAATAACTTCAAAAAGAAATAGCAGTCACATCACCTTAGTTCGTGTACAATCACCGAAGTTAAGCAACTTCGAGTTTGATCAGTACCTAGATGGGTGCAATCTTTTGTTGATCACGCTAGGTATCAGGCTCTTTCCCAGAAACTGTAACTAAGGTCTGCTCAGCATAGTTGCAGTATAAACCCCAGATGGGCTCTGTGGGTGTTGAATAAACACAAAATGTGCCTGAGCAAGCGTCTGGAATCTTCCAGCTTTGTGCTTTCCATTTGACTTTGATCTTCCAAAATTTTACTGCAATGTCAATCGTTAACTGTTCGTCTCTTTGATTCCACTTTTTCGATTGTTCTCACTCCTTATTGCTTTTCTTATTGTTATTCTTTCACATTCAGTATACCCCCTCACTTGTGTTTTAGTGACTTTACTGCCTTGCTTGGGGTGAAATGATTAAAAAAAAAAGATATGGGATAATTAATAACATTAAAAATAAAAGTCATAAAAGATTGAATAAGTTCGATATCTTGATACATTAGATGTTGAAATTGAAATGTTGAACATCTCCCGTATTTTTAATGTTTTCGTGTAAAATCTGATTAGGATTTGTTGTATTTCTTTCCTTATTTCCTTACCTCACTAAACAAAACTATATAAATAAAACTATTCTAAATAAAACTGCCCTAAATAAAACTGTTCTAAATAAAACTATATAAATAAAATTGTTTTAAATGAAACTCTATAAATAAAACTGCCCTAAATAAAACTGTTTTAAATAAAACTCTCTATATAAAACTGTTTTAAATAAAACTCTCTATATAAAACTGTTCTAAATAAAACTATATAAATAAAACTGTTTTAAATAAAACTCTATAAATAAAAGTGCCCTAAATAAAACTGTTTTAAATAAAACTCTCTATATAAAACTGTTCTAAATAAAACAGCGATTTCTCTGAAGAAGTTCCTTTTCAAGATGAAACTTGTTACAGCTCAGTTTTCTACCTCCTCATTCATTTGCCCCAAATTATTCATATATATATATATATATATATATATATATATATATATATATATATATATATATATTAACTGGTTTAAAATATGTTTTTTCACTACACAGTAATAACCATGTTTCAAAAATGGAAGCTAAAAATTTCAAATTTAATTTTGTAATTAGATTAAAAACATTAGTTCCATTTCATCTTCAAGCGAATATTGGAGTAACTTATTTTTTAAATTTATTGAGTTTTAAACGGACACAAAAATCATGATTCACTGTTTCCAAGGATACAGAGAAATCCAATCATTCAGACAAGGGGTCATAGCATGTTCATTTTTATTAACTTTTGTTTTATGCACTGTAAATTTACATTACTGTTTTGTAAAAATGAAAATATGAATAAGAACACCGATTATATATCTTACTGTTCTTTCTTTTTATTTATTATCCTAAATATATATATATATATATATTTATATATATGAAGAAATATAGTCTTAAGAAATAGTAAAAATTTGTTTATATCAGTTAAATAAGTGATATAAACAAATTTTTTTACTACGTTAATAAAAACACCGATTAAAAAATAAGTAAATAAATAAATAAAATAAGAAACAAAAATTAAAATTAAATAAAAACAAGCAAAATAATTTAACCCAAATAAATAAATTAACGACTTCCGGTAAAATAACCGCCATAATAGACTACCCACAATACCACTGACCCGTATATGTATAAATAGCCGAGAAAAATTTTTACTTTTACGTGGCCTGAATTGCATATAGCATGAAACAGACTGTCGCCTCTAAGTGTTGTCTTCTATATTTCACTTTTATATATATATATATATATATATATATATATAATAATTATTATATATATATATAATATACATTATCACTTCCTCCTTCGTTAACTTTGCGTATACTGGATGAGGTCCAAAATGATTTTCTTTCATTCTTCATTTCATTTTGGAAGTTGATCCAGAACCCTGTTAAAGGGGTTTATGGTGAAATAGTTCATGGAATCTTGGTCTGTCTTTTTATTCAAATATATATATATATATATATATATATATATATATTTATATATATATATATATATATATATATATATATATTTTTTTTTAATATATTATCATCGTAACACCAAAATTCCCATGTTTCAAAATTGAAACTTCAATTCAAATTTAATTATAAAAATTAAACTTAAAATACAAAGTTCCATTTCATTATTAATTATAACAAATTTTAACAATATTTTTAAAAAGAAAAGAAAGCAGATAAATCAAAAGCCTTTATTATTTAAAATAAACTAAAACATAAATAATTCATCATATTAAAATAACATAATAAATAATAGTTAATGTTAACTATGCTGATTCTTGAGGTTCTGTTATGTGACATCTGTCCCTCTTTACGGCAGCGAATGTTGGTTGACTTCCTCAAAGATGAAGAAGAGACTCGAGGTGATAAAGATGTGGTTTTACAGAAAGATGCTAAGGATATCATGGACCGAATGTGTGAGCAACAATAAGGTCTTAAAGAGGATGCAAACAAGGAGGAAGCTTATACTTAATATCAGGAAGAGGCAGGTGAAGTTTCTGGGACACATAATGAGGAAGGAGAGCCTGGAGAATCAGATACTCACAGATCGAATTGAGGGAGAGAGAGAGTCAAGGGAAAACAACACGTGGCATACCTGACGGAGTTAAGCAAGTGGATTACAGAACGTGGTCTGGGGGAGGAAGCAGAGGGAAGGAACTTGTTGAGAGCTGCAAGGGAGAGAGGGAGAAGTGGAGAGCCATGATTGTATTGAGCACTTTTCAATACTACTGTTCCCTGGTCCAATTCAACTCTGACCATTAACCTTTATATATATATATATATATATATTAAATTTTGTTTATTTAAAAAAAAAGGTAAAATTCGGACAGAACTTATGGGATGACCTGATAGCTGGTCTTCTTATCTTCCAAAGTGAAAATAACTTTTAAGTAGTATTTAAGTTTTTTAAAATTTCTCCTCGGTAAACATTTTTGGTTGTTGTTTCGTGGAGTGTTCTCATTCTATTCCTTGAGCATGATCCTATTTTAGCAATTACATTAATAAAAAAAAGTAAATAAGTATGTATAAGTAAATATGAAAATAAAAAAATCCCAACAGCAACAATAACATTTACTCACTTTTGTTTACTAAATTGGTTGCTCATATCTGTATTTATTTATTTAATTCATATATATATATATATATATATATATATATATATATATATATATATATAACGTCATCCACAGACAGACTGTTTCGCTGTTTACAGCTCATCAGTATATAGAAAACAAATTTTCTTTACTTTTAATTTTTCTTTTTTTTTACATTTTGGCAGTATTTTTAATTAATAGAAATTATTGTTGCTTTATATATATATATATAGATAGAGAGATTGAGAGAGACAGACAGACAGATAGATATATGTAAATAGCCCTATTCATATTACCCTACTTAACATTTGCTTCTGTGAATTTAATTCATAAAGCCTGCAAATTTAAACTGTAATATTACACGCTATTTTGAATTTCTTCAATGTCAGACTAACCTTGTGGGTCAAAGGAGTGCTGCTCATTGGTAAAAACAATGACCTGTTGAATCAGAGGTTCACTTTTAACTTCTGGGGGAGTTACACATGTCATAAGTTTATTTGGAAAAAAATAAATCATGGCGTCGGTCATAAAAATCATCTTTTCTCACCCATGGCCTTCCATATTTAAATGGTATTGTACACTCTTTTTTGTTGTACACTATTTTTACTT